GGTGGCAACTAGCCATTGGCTGCGGATCAGCGCTTGACGTCGTGTCCTGAGAGAACTAACGCTATGCTTCATATTTGGTAGGAATTGGTGGACGGCGATAATTGCAGCCATTCCGGGTCAGAGCTATTACGGATTTGGTGGAAATTCGGGGTCAGTGATTAAAACGTAAGGAATGGACAAAACTACAATATAACATAACAAGACCATCAGTGCTTATGAAGAGTCTATTTTGCACTGCCATGAAGGATATACTGTAGAAGTCATGATATCCTGTCTTTAGAGGAGGTTTTTCATCATGAATGTGAAAAGCCTGTGTTTGTTGGCCCCATTGCACACCCTTCCAAACCCCGTGTTTTTAAGTGTCATTCATATATACTTTAGTTTAAGTGTGAGAGCTACGCTGAAACCCTCTTCAAACAATCCGGAAACTCTCCTGCTGTTCGAGTCTTATATCACTCACAATCACCAGGAGAGAATAGTTTCTAACAGACATGAAGAGTTGACAGAAAACAACCACTGACGGAGAGTGAGTTGAACCTTGAAGGAAAATGAAAAGCTACAAATACTGTATCAAGACGCAGGCAAAAGGACAAAGCCCTTCAACGGTTCCCTGATAATGACTTGCTACGCACAAACATACTCGCGCTGTTTGAGTCTGTGCTCTTCAACCTCTCTGCAGCCAGAGTGACTCACTCTCAGGATGCTGAAAAAGCCTTGTCCCTGATATTTGTTTAAAGAGCAGGAAAGTGCATCACGCTGTTAAGTGACAGAGGGGACAAATTCAGTGCATGATGAAAAAAGGGGAAATAATTTCGCCTGCAGAGAGAAACAACTTTTATAAAGTAGAATGGCCTTTGTAGTCGCAGGACCCTCAGGAGGAAAACATTGACACTACAAATGAGCTGTCTTTGGCAAGCGTCTTTTTATGTCCCTTTTTAAATGAGCTCCGAGATGTTTTCCATTGGCTCTTTCAAACCATGACATGCTGAAAGCACCCTGACAAACACTGAAAACATATGCAATCAAATATTTAAAGACGCGCATCAGTGAGACTAAATCTGTCTTCAAGGAACTGAAATAAACCCAAAGTGGAGTTTATACAAGTCTTTGTACTGTAGAAACAGATTTTCAGACTTAAAGTGACAGTAAAACTAAAATGAAAAGACATAAATGTTCAGTTTTAAAGATGATGGGCTCAAGTGAAAATCATTCTCAAGTTTTGTTGCAGCAGTACACATTTTTAAATGCATATGTTGGCAGAGTTAAAAAGCCAAACAATGGATCTTGCATCAAAAATTATACATTTGTGGGTCAAGTTTAGTTATTAAACTTTAAATTGGTATATGTGCTTTATTTTTAGAATAAAACAGCAAAATAACTTCCCAAACAAACGGACCCTGAAGTTTAAGTGTAATTTACTGGTATTCCCTGTTAACACCCAGTAACTTCTCTTGTAACACTGCATTAACTCCCTACTAACTACCTGTCCCTACTAACTCCCTAGTAACTCCCTTGACACTATACTTTCAACTAACTGGTAATTACTCTTAAACTCTGTTAAGTCCTTGCATACTACCTTTGATCTACGCTAAAGTCCCTGGTTACTCCTAAGTATCTCATCATTGAGTCATCATCAGCTCCTCGGCAATGACTGGTAAACCACCCAGTAGCTATCTGATAACTCCATGGTAACTCTGTGTTACTTCCCTGTTAACTGCCGAGACACAATCTGCCAACTGCATAACAACTTCAAGTAAACTCACTCGTAACTCCTGGTCTACTGACTTTTGACTAAATGTGGACTCTCCCTTAATAAAGGGATATTCCCACGTAAAATTAAGTTAGGGTCAAACACACCATAGCACCAAGTTAGACACCCCGTCGATAGATGAATGTTGCCAACCACTTACTTCTCTCGTTATACCAACTTTAGCAACGACTGCACGATAGCAATACACAGTGGTCTCAGGAGCCATAGACAAACCCCAACCAAAAAGCCATTCAATAGCCACTCTATATGATGATTATGACTTCAAGGAAATGATAAAGTAATGATCATAAATGTTCTTCCTTGAGCTGCGTCACCCCACTGCAGTCAGTGATGGACTGGCCTGAGGTCTCGCTACAAACAAACGGCTGCTGGAAGAGAGTAGGTGAGTTGTGTTTAGTCTCTTTGCTAAAGAAATTAGGCAAAGCTAAAAAGATGTTTGGTGGCTAGTGCTGTGGCTGAGACCATGTATGTACTGTTGATGAAGTTGGGTGCTGTTCTGAGCATTATTTGTGGCTATAGAGTGGCGTTTTGGTTGAGGTGTACTCGTGGCTTCTGAGACCGCTGTGTATTGCTATTGTGCAGTTGTTACCAAAGTTGGTATAATTAGAGAAGCAAGCGGTTGGCAACATTCATCTCTCGAGGGGGTGTCTAACTCTGTGTTATGGTGTGTTTGACCCTAACTTAAACGCCCGGATTAATTTTTGTTAACTCTCTGATAAATTCTGTTTTCCTACTAGTCAGTCCCTTACAATTCCAACTCCTTGTTGACTCCCTGGTGACTCAGTGTTTCTCTTAATTCCTTGTTTACTACCCAATTTCTCCATGAAACCTCCCCTGTCACTCCCCACGGACTCCCTTCTTACTCCATTGTAATTTCCTGTGTACCTTCAGTGCTCTCTGTCAACTCACTTGGAGGCCCTGTTACTTCATATTAAGTTACTGTCAGCTCCTTGCTAAATCCCCAGTAACATCCTGTTAACTTCACATTAACTCCTCGTCAGCTCTCAGTTACCCTCCAGTGGCTCCCTTTTAACACCTCTATAACTAAGATCTCCTATGACCCCCCTTGCTCGTCCCCACAAACACCCATGTTACTCCTTCTAACTTGACTTGTCGCTCCTTTCTTACTCCCCGGTGACTATCTTTGCTAACTGGTACTCCCTGCTAACCCCTTGTCATTTCTCTAGTTAATCCCTATCGACTCAGTTATGATTTCCTGTTTTCCCCACCTTTAATTTCTAGTATCTCATTATCCCTGTTTATTCTTGTCAGGAGTAATTTATGTTTCCCTAGGATACAATTTTCAGTAGGGAATAAATATACAAGGAGCAAGTACAGCTCTAGGAAGACATGAAATTAATAAAAGAAAATACAATACCCACATGTATTCAAGAAAGAAAGAGGTCACCCAGTGCAACAGAACTGAAGGCCCAATGCTGTGTGTTGTATATTTAACTATACTGGGGCTCGAGTCCATGACTAACATGGTTTTTAAAGCTGTGGCTCCAGATAACACATTTTACTGAGGTCTGTCCATTTCTAGGTGGAGTTCAATAAACGTGTTGACAATAGGGACTCTGCAGCATTTCCAGTATCCTTCAAACTGGGAATACAGTCAACATCTTTTACATTGAACAATAAAAGTTGTGTAATGCCTGGAGTCAAGTCAGTTAGATTATACTGTAACCATAAATAATGTAGGGATGTTGTAGACTCAAGAATATTCTCACTACTGTTAGCACTCTCACATCACATTTGCACGAGTCATGCAATTAAGTGGGGAAAATGGCTCTGTTGGGATTTAGCGGTACATTACACTTAACATTTAAAGTTTAAAACTCTTATGACTGATAAAGGCCGCAAAATAAGTAATACTTATTTCTAATAACAGCTCATCAAGAAGGAGCGCTTTCTGACCCAAGTGGGACTTCACAGAACATCATGATAGTTTTCTTTCTTTAACATACCGACTGCAAACCTCACCTCGAGCCAAAGTTGAAAGTGCAAAGAGGAATAACTGCCCTGCAAACTGATCTCTCTCATCCTTGATACTTAATACGAACTTTATATTTTGGTGCTCAGTGGGACCATCATATCTCATCGAGAAAGGAGGCTTTGAGAGCTTGTTTTGGCTGCGGCCCTCATCATAAATTTCTCATTGGTATTCCTTTTTCTACAGTCTGAATTAAAACTAGAAAGTAATGCCTATACAGAGTCTGGCTGAGTCCCAGAAGACTCCCAAGAAACATCCTCTATTAGCAGAAGCAACAATTTCTGTATTTATTTCATACTGCATTTCAAATAACTAGTTTAAGTGTGCCTGGAGTCCCCCAGGGCACCATCCTTGGACCCCTAATTTCCTGTCTGTGCAATATTTTCCACCGCTGTTTTATGTGTGTGTGTGTGTGTGTGTGTGTGTGTGTTTTCATTGAGCTTTTAATGTTGTCACAGTCTGTTTTAAATCATGAGCTGTTTGTCCAGACTCAATTAAATTATTCATTATGTTTGTTCAACAAGCTGCTTTTCTGCAACGACAGCGTTGATGCAAAATTAAAACCCTCAAAACCGAAGAAACAAGAACTTGAAGCTGCAGTGATGCATTAAGAGTTTGGTGAGCTGTATTGAAAGTTGTGATATCATTCTATAGTTTTATCTGTCAATGCCAGGATGAGCAGTATAGGACAAAAATTAGATCAATATCAATATCAATCAGCTCAGTGAAGGCGGAGTTCACCCTCCGGGGAAAGACAGGAGCAGAGGCAGAGAAGGGGAAGATAATCCTTAGATGGAAAAGATTACAAGAACAGGTCTGGGTTATAGGTAGCACCTGGAACAAAGTATGAATTCACATAGAATATAAATACAGTATGAGGGTCAATCTACTGTACACACACTGGGAAAGCAGGAGGGAACTTGATCTCTCTGCTCTCCAATCCATTTTCAATCTTCACAAAAAATGACATCCATATATGACTTGATATATTCTGGCAGCTTTTCTTCAGCAAGTAGGTCGTTCTAAAATGTAATATGATCATGAGGTTTTGTCATAACTCTCTGCATTTCTCCTATTAATTGACAAAATGACAGAATAAGTGGCAAAAGGACACATCCCTGCATGTATACAGTGCTAGAAATGTGTTACTTTTCATTTCAAGGTCTTCACTTTCCATCTTTTTTATTCAGTGTGGAACCAAACTGCCTTTATCTAACAATTGGTTGACTGAGAGGTTAGAATGCATGCAATGTCCCCAATTACAGTCCCAGCAGGAGACCTTCAAAAGCAGATAACACAGCTTTGGGGTTTGCATTGGAACAGCATTTCTGGCCTACAGTGATACAAGTTTGTAAAATGGTGGTCATATGCTGTGTCTAACTCCAGTTCAGGACTAATGCTGCACTACTACAATACTCTACTGTTGCAAGGTTTATTATGGCTCAGTGGTGTGAAGTAATTGGTAGTATTTTGATATTTAGAAGATGGAGATTAAGTTGTATGTAGGTGGTGTCTAGTTGAACTGACAGGTAACTACTAAACTGGAGCTTTGTGTTACCAGCACAGGTATGTGGGCTTGAATTTGATGGGATGGGCTAGCTCTACAGTACTAATGTTGGCCACAAGGCAAACCAGTCTGACCTTGTAATCCTAAATTGGGCAATGTTCAATAAATCATAGAGTCTCAGCGCCTGCAGAAACTCTATATAAATAGGAAGTGTTATCATCAAATCTGAAATACAGGGTCCCAAGTTTTAATAAGGTCGGACCGAAGCGCTCTTTCATAGACTCGTCTATTTTAAAGTTAAATATATAGCTAAATCCTAGATTAAAAGTATGTTAAAGGGCTCAGAATATGTGCTCTGGTGTTCAAAATGTTTTGTCATGTTTTCATTCATGTATCTTGCAGAGACAAAAGTTAGATTTCACACTCACCGTACAGTCTTATCTAATGTAATCTTGTCTGATCTCATTCAACTCATACTGTCTATTTTCCAAGAGTTGTCTTAACTGCAGACAAGTTGGAATAAGAGTTTGACAAGAAGTATGTCACAATTATCATTAGTGTCCTTCCCCAATGACCATCTAAAAGTGAAACTTAACCATTTGGAAAAATATGCCATGTACAAGCAGCGCCACTCTCTGAGTTGTGTTGATTTTAGCGCCCCCTAGGATGTACTTAAAATCTGATTTTGTCCCTAACTTCTGTGAGTAATCTTCCAACAAAAGATGATCCTGCTGTCTTTTGACATAACCTGAATCAGAAAATGAAAACAAAAGGGTGGAAACACTAAAACATGGCTATCTTGTCTTTTTATGCTGATGATATGAAACTTTAGATCTGAAACAAGGTACAAAGTTAACAGTCCCACACAAATAATGGTAACCGTTAAGAAATGTAACCTTGTGGAGCTGAAAGACCTTACTGAGTTCAAAAAGCCATTTAAGATTGAGATATATCCTGGTATATTGCAGTTCTATTAAATATGTAATTGGGTCAAAGCCTCCAAAGATTTCCAGCAAATGACGACACCTTTAATCCTTGTAATCCTGTCGAAATCTTTATCATTTGATGTTTTCATTTTTAGGTTCTGATAGGATTTCTGCTGATGCTGACACAAGTCCCTGAAATTAAAATGTGTTAAGATTTTCCATCAAAAATTATGTCGATGAACAGAGTTAAAGGCTGGAAGCAAGGTGACAGGAAAGTCTTTGGTTGTTACGCAAGACAAAATTAAGTCTCACTTGTCCTACTCGAACAGTTTCTGGGAAAGTTGGCGAAACGACACGATACTTTCGCACCCATCTGGACTCGAGTGGAAAGGGCATGAGGAGTTATCTTCTTATTTAACGCTCTGGGTTCTAACTGAACATTTACTTTGTGTTTGTGCGTTCAAAACATGTCACAGTTTGACTTTTGCTGCCTACCGCGCTGACAGGCATCAGTTTCAGCTCCCCTGTCAGACTATGAGGCTTTTCATGTCTTTTTTTAGGCATTTCTCGAGGAGAGAGGGGGGGATGCCAGCATCTCTGTGAGTGTGTGACGTCTGACAGAATCAGAAACGGAGCTCTAAGGGACCATCACCGCTGATGCAGAAAGCAATCTGTCAGCATGGCGTTAGGAGGGGACGTTTCCCTCATAACCGAGACGAACACGGCGATCGGTGTTCTTTTATGAAGACTGAGTCACTGCGAATCAGAGGGAGGAAGGAGAGACACGGAGAGACACGGAGAGACAGAGAGTGTTTGTTGTATCTCCGTGAAACAGAGATGAACACAAAAGGGAATGGGTTACATATTTCACACAAAAAACAAAGCTGGATCAATAATATAAATTTCAACATCTTTTTCTTTTTGCTCTTACATGTTTTGTTTTTTTCTACATTCTCTCACTTTGTTCCCTTTCCGAGCATTTCTGAGGTGAAAAAACCTCCAGTGCCCTGCATCACTCTGATAAGAGCCACTGTTGTGCACTGGATCACCGCCATTTAGCCCGTAATTCTTTTCTTTTATTCCGCTGAACAATTCAGTTCTGTGTCACTAAATGGTTGGTCCCCGTTTGAGATAAGGGACAAAGACCACCTCAGGTGTCATTTTTGAGCTCCTGGAATTAGGCTGGTTTAGTAGGAGCTGGATCACAGCGTAATCACAGCTGTGGCACCCTGCCGAGCCGAGGATATGAGCCACTTTCTGTCGGGGCAGCTCAGGTGAAATGAATCTGAATGCAAAAAGAATGGGAACAAAATTAGCTCATTTGTTTTTACACATCAGGGCAGATTTACATCTGAACTAGTATTTCTTTGTCAAGGTGATCTTCACACTTAATCAAATGAGTAAGATTTGAAGTAATGGAAGTAAGGTTAAAGGAGAACAAAAGGGGGGAAATATGAGGGTAACAGGAGAGTATTAGGAAGAGTAAAGGAGGATAAAAGGAGGGTTAAATTAGGATAAAATAGGGTGATCATATGTCCTCTTTTACCCGGACATGTCCTCTTTTTGGGGGGCTGTTAGGGTTTGTCCAGAAAAGTTTTTAAAATCCTTAAATGTCCGCATTTCTGTATGTAAGTTTTGATTTTGTGTCACGTGGACTTACTGAGTTAGAAGCGTGTAAAAGACACTCCATCTACCCGAAAAACTCTCAAAATTAACTTTGTGCGACTGTATGACTCCGCCCCCTCAAAGTTGTGTCCTGTTTTTGGGAGGTCAGAAGATGATCCGCCCCCCAAAAAATTAGTATAAAAAGGGCAAGAGGAGGGTGTAAAGGATAAAAGAAGGTAAGAGCAGGGAAAGGGGAGGGGAATAAAAACAGGATAAACAGGAAGGAGAAATAGAAAGATAAAAGTCGAGTAAAACAAGGGTAAAAGGAGGTCGATAAGAGGAATATAGATGGAGGAAAAAAGAAGTATAAAATGAGGGTAAAGGGGAGAATAAAAGGGTGATGAAAGAAGGGTTAAAGGAGGATAAAAGGTGGGTAAGAACAGGGGGAAAAGGCAGGTTAAATGAGGGTAAGTAGAGGATAAAAGACAGGTAAGAGGAGGATAAAAAATGGATAATAGGAGGTTAAACAGAAAGGAGGGGAAAGAGAGAGCAAAGGGAGGATAAAAGGAGTAAAAGGAGAATCAAAGGAGGATAAAAGGAATGTAAAAGAAGCATAGGAGGGAAAAGGGAGTAAATGGAGGGTTAGAGAAAGGTAAAAGGAGGACAACTTAAGAGTAAAAGTAGAGTCAAAGAAGGATAACAGAAGTGTAAAAGAAGGGGAAAAAACAGAATAAGATGAGGGTTAAAGGTTGAGGCAGGTAAAGGAATACTTCCTTCTCTAGTAGCCCTGATTGATCCGAGATCTTTAGCTAACTTATTGGTAAACATGAAGTGTGTCTCTAGCCAGGTGGAGAGCTCAAGAGGCTATCGGCTCCTTCACTCTCTCTCACATCAGCTTGACTGGATAAGAGACGATACACACAGTAAGCCCGAAAATCCATTTAAGGGAGTGCTGACAGTGAAGTAATGAAGGTTCCCGTATCAACCTCAATGATTTTGTCCTCACTTCATCTGACTTTCTACCCGGTGTGTCACCCCCAAATCCTCACCCAGGATCACCGGTGCTGTTTACCCCCCATAGGTGTCACAGAAAATCATCCCAAACCCGCTGCAAGGCCTGGGTTTGTTTACCTCAAACAGATCCCCAGTGCCAACATTTTTAAGTTTCCTTTCTCTCTCTTCTCACAGGAAACTTGTGATACGTGCTCCTGTCTGTGCAGAATTTTAATTCAGTTGACACTCAAGGCATCGGGCAAGACGAGGCAATAACTCATCCTGTCTGAATGCTGATGGCTGAGTTTAGCCTTGAATAAAAACATCAGGGATCGAGTCTATCCAATGTTCAAATTATCTGCTGAGCTGTAACAACCTTGCGTTGCGGGTCATATGCAAATTTAATAATACTTTTAATGGACTTTGTGAAAGTCTGACATCTGTCTTACTCTGTTTCTGTCCTGTTCCAGTTTCTAACCTTATGGGAGATACTGTACCTTGTGTTACATACAGTCTCGAATGAATAAGTGACGACTGAACTATGAACCTTAATGGATCATCATCACAATGAACCAGCATATAAGAAAACAAGAATTGAATGCATGTCTATACATAATATTTACAGAGCTGCCAAGCGTCACGCTTTGAGTGTGACAGTCACCCAATTTGACCCATTCTCACACCAAACACCACACTTGACGATTCTCATGCTTATTTTTCCCCATTCAAAACTCTGTATTTATTTTTTTTGATGATAATAAACTTGGCTTGCTGTAGTTCAAGTAACTCTAATTGACTGACCGTGATAACCAATCCCAGATTAATCCATCTGTCCTTTGTGCCTAATGCCGCGTTCGAGTTACCTCAGAAGTCAGATGTCGCAGCTGAAAATGACGTCACACCCGAGTTACCAGCGTTTCAGTTACCAAGTCAGAAAAAAGCAAAATCGGAGGGCTGAAACAAGATGGCTACGTCTACGAAAGTTACTTTAGCGCTTGCCTTACAGACAAGGAAAGTGCTAAAATAACTTTCGCAGATGTAGCCAGGTTGTTTCTGCCTCTGATTTTGCTTTTTTCCGACTTGGTAACTGAAACGCTGAGTTTTTTTGGGGTCTTGGCATCTCTAGCTATCTTTCACACACGACAGTGTTAATTCTGGCTTAATTTCCTGCTTTTAAGTCAAGTCAAAGTTAATTTATAAAGCAACTTTTAGAAGACAGCAGTCAAACAAATTTTACTTAAACCTTACTGGGGCCTGAGCACCAAGCAGGAGTGAGGACCTAATTGTAATGCCTAAGATCATTTCTTGTGACTATTTTACATTTTTGTTGCAACCCTCATGAACTTTTCACAGCACATCAGACCTGGCAAAAATAATAATAATAATTGATATTTTGATGGTTTTGGACATGAGTATGAATAGTTATCTCACTGGCGCCTCCTAGCAGTTTTCATTAGGGCATGGTGAGCCCTCCAAGTAAAGTGTTTCACTATTAGACAGGAAGTAGTTTTTATCTCCGCCATGCATGCTCCAATTTTACCGAAACTCGCCAAGCATAATTAGGGTCAAGCCCTGAACAGATTTATGTAGTAATATTTCATCCAAGCTATAGCGCCTCCTGCTGGTAGGTGGAAATTTCATGCTGTTACTGTATGAGATTAATCTCCTCGACCGTAGAATATATCTGCGTAATTTTTGGGTAACATATCCTTGAGATGTTGATCTTCATGTGTGTCAAAAACCGTAAGTTTTTATCAGAGGTAGTGGTCTTCATGGTGCAGTGGAGTTCAATTATAACATGATGTCTTGGACAAAAATTTCACTATGCCTTTGCTCAGCTGATTCACTGAAAGATGAGTAACTTAAGCTTAGGTGGATGCAAATACAAGTCTTTTGTTAGGTTTTACTCTATTTTCCATTAAGAGGCAGCAGAAAAGCAGTCCTCATACTGTGCTAACTTAGCCAACCTATAGGTCAGAAATGTGGGCCACCATTTTTTAAACCTCACTCTCAAGGGCTTGCTTTTGTTGTTGATTTTGGTGCCCCCTGAAGGCCAAGTGATACCTCTCCTCCTTCATTTCAGTTCTCCTGTGGCATGTAAAAGTACATTTACCAAATTTTGTGATTAATATATAAATATAAAAATAAAAATAAAAATAGAGAATATTCTTTGATTTTAATGCTCTTATAGATTACAAAGGTTTGGTCTAAAACGTAAGAATTTCATGTTCTTTTAGGGAAATTTGATGTTGACTTAATCCAGATTTTTTTATATAAATATTGTGTTAAGAAGTCTTTTGTAATTTTTTGGTTGGTTTGGGTAAGTTTATCATATACTTAGTAGTCCCAGGGTCCCTCTCGCTCTAACCTTGATTCATGGTTTAGTTCTTCTGTTACAGTTTTCTGTTTTATCCTCCTTACTTGGCCTTTGGAAAATCTTCATCAGCTTTAGGCCTTTATTCTTAAATATATTACAGCCTGCAGGGGTTTGTCAAATCTCCCCCCAACACTTCAACTTTCCCTGCACCTGCAGACATTTCTGCCCTCAAGCCCATGTTACCTTTTAAAATCAACATCTTTATCATCGGAGACATTTCTCTGATAGCGAACACTGTGATGCATTTTTACTTTTAATTATTCACACAGTTCTCTGAGAGGTCTGCGATGAAAAAAACCTTTTGATCTCGCCCTTCCTTGTGATAAATATTCATTGTGATGCTAATGTTGTCAAAGCCTCTGTTTATAGTTGATGGGTCTCTTGGTTATTTTAATTGCCTTTCATGAATATTTTCCTCTGACGCATCGATTCAGAGGACGTAACAGTAGTTAGCAGCAGGAGGAGGACATGATAGGTGGATGATGTATACTTCCTCTGGCAGCCTCCAGGCAGCTGCTCTATTCAGAGTGAGTGACGGTTCAAGCTGAAGGTAAGACGGCTGCTAAATCTTCACCACGGCTGCACAACCAGTGATTACTCCTCCCTGCATAAAGCATAAAGCTTGCTGGGAGCGCTGACAAGGCTGCAGCTGGATGGACTTAGGTGAGACTCCAGGAGAGCTGGCCCCTCTGGCATTGTACGAATAGCTGCTATAGCTACCCCCCAACTCCATCTGCCTGAACCAGCAGGCTGCAAACCTTGGGCAAAGTTTGCACCTGTCACTCAGACTAATGGTCAAGGTGAGGATTAGGGCTGGGTTACATGTCTTGGATGAGTGGGTGAAGGGGGACAATGCATTCCTGACATAGCCGGGAGATGATCATACTGACATTTACAGGCAGGGAAAGACAGAGCGAGGCAACATGGCCGTCCCCATTAAACCACACAAACAGTTTGGGATCTGTGAGTGTTATGATTGAGGGCCTCATTTTGGTTTTAATGAAGCGTCTCAAACGGGGGCTAAAATGAGGGTTTTCAGAGACAACCCTAATCTCGTTTTTGTGCATTTTTGTGTATCAGTGACTGGTTTAATCTTATCAAGAAACAGCAAGAAAATACTTAAAGTTGGTCTTTCTCATCAATTTATAAATCAAGTATAATTTCAGCCTTTTTAAAATGTAACTCATTTACTGTTTTTGGCGCTTTTGTGGCTCCATAGCTCAGTTTAAGAGCCTTTAAGAGTCAAATACAGGAGGATATTCTTGCCATATTTCAGCATGTTGAGGTCGCGGCTTTCTCTGCACGTTATACTTCACCTCTCCTGAACTGAAAAGCCCTGTAAGCTGTTTGTCCTGAGGGGAAGAAAAGCAGTCTGCTCTCTACAGCAGGGGTCACTGTTGAACTGAAACACTCTTTACAATCAGCCTCCATCTCCCTCTCGTTCTCTCACTTTCCCTCTCTTCCTCCCCTTTACTGTCAGGGAAAATTTAGCATGACAGAGCTGGAACAATAACTTGATTTAATATCTAGGTCATGCAAAGATCTTCTAATCTTAGCAAAGAGAATATTTATTGACTGGGGGTGACTGACTTGCAGTGTCGGCTGCAGTTAGCAGATAGATTTGGGGTGAATAATTAAGCTGTGGGCTGAATCTGCATGTCAGAGGAGGTGCAGGGGTACAGTGGAGTGCCTCCTTGTCAGAAAAAAAAAAAAGCCAAAGGGAGAAAGAGAGCAGAGTGATGAATAAAAATAAGGTGTTTGATTAATATGGCAAGTTTGGGGAAAAAGTAGTTTGGAGTTTATAGGTCATGGTGGCTCATCATAACAGGGTGTAAAGTAGAAACTCTCTTCTGTGTTGTCGCTCATAAAGCAGAGGACATGTTCAGGTGTTAGGGCATGCTTCCTGTTTTTGGCCATTTGAGTTAGAAAAGGCCATCAGTGCAATTATATTAGAGCAGAGCCTGTCTTAATGTGGGCAACATGTGTATGTTGGTATTCGCTTTGTTTTCAGATCCAGTATCAATTTTTGGTGTTGAGTTTTACCAGACAGAAAATTTTCCACATTAAAGCTCTGGTACAAACTTTTTTTGGATGGTTATGGACCAGGCTGAAATTAATGGTAATAAAATATTTTAACGTTTACAAAAGCAAACAAGCTCATCAGCCATAAGACTGATATTTTCTATGTTGTAATTTTTTCATGGCTGTGGGCAAACAATCAATTTCCCTGGAGAAATAGTCTTTCTTTCTATTGGAAATATTCAACACGGAAAGACTTTGTGTTAGAAATATTCAACAGCTAAAGAGGACAAGATCAGCAAAGAGATAAAAAGTCCTACTTTGTTCTGATGTTAGCTTATGAGCTGTCAAATAAATATATATATATTTATCTTAATGTATGGGCCAGTCTCTCTTCTAATTGATTAACTCATCAGAGTCGCACCCCTAGCAACAGTCCATTCCTCAAATTGCAGACTGCTGCTTTGAAATGTTAAGTAATGGCCAGTCAAAATCCAATACTATACTTTATTGATGTGGAACAAAGAGGGATATGGTCCATGGATGTCTTGTTTAAAATGTAGAATAAATTGAGTCTTAACCCTCCTCCTGTGTTAGGGTCTGCAGCGACCCGTTTTTCATTTTAAATGCTTAAAAGAACCACTTGCCGTAGTGTAGTGTAGATGTCTGTATGAGGGGTATACTGACAAAGAAAGGCCCAGAGGACCACAACAAAAATATTATACGCAATATTTACATGGATAATGAAGCCTAACAAGTTAAACTAGAGATATGAACAAACCTGGATGATAGAGAATTGTTTTTGGTGTAATTTACAGCTGATTTAAGGCACGAGTCAAAACCGACCCTTAACATGCTGGGTGCATAGTAAAAGCTAACACAAATATCCAAAAGCAAATCTATTCATAAGTTAAACTCCAGGAGTCCATGGTGGAACGTTTCCCCGTCGCCAACCAGGTGGTACTGGATTACCAACGAAAGATCTAGATGCATTCAGAGCAGATTCACAGAGACCAGGATTTCCACCTCATCCCCTACAGTACAAGACCATCTGTTACAACATGACTAAAATCTGTTGAACAATTGAACTCTCTCCATGGTAACTGAGCAAACTTATTCCTCTGACAGAAGCTAGTTCGAACTTTTTTACTTTGATTGTTACAAACTCCTGCGGCTACCTTGAAATGTAATTTTTTTTCCAATAACATTTTTTGGCCTCTAGTCTAAAAATATGGTAGATTAAGACAAACATTTATAAGATCAGGAACACTGTGACTGTGACCCGGCTGGTCTCTCATAAATCAGATGACCATTTATCCATTTCCTTGTGACAGTGATGTAACAGTTACTCCTCACTAAACGAGAAGAGAGGAGCTTAAGGAGCCGCTGATCAATGAGAGTCTTTAGACGGCGCTTTGTGAACAGAATACCGAAAAGGCCTCTGGGAAAAAGCTCACCCGGGGTCGCCCAATCATTCAGCGGCAGCAGCAGCAGCAGAGCGAGGCTCGGAGTGTGTGTTAGCTAGAGGCGAATTTGTCTCCAAACACAAACCCCCTCACTCTGGACAAACAGGGCCAAAGGGGCGCTCGGTTTCAGCGTCTGAATATTAATGAGAAGGCTCTGCAAACCTCTTCAAACCTTTTCTGTTGCTATTTTCTAAACACACAGATCAGCTTTGCACTCTTAATCCTCTCGCTTTCACAGAGGTGGCAGTCAGTGTCCTGGGTGCAACGAGCTGCAGGCAACACCTGACCTCTCTGTCTCAGTCTGAACTTTGGACGACCTCTGTGTCATAGGCGGTGCAAAGGTTTAAAACCATGGCACTCTGTGGTTGCATGGTGGACTATAAAAACAATGTTAAAGGTCTCAGTCAAAGCAGACATTATACAATAATTATAATAGTGTTTCTCTGTTAAAGATCACGTTTATGTATGTTAAAGATACGTTAGGTTGCAATTCTCCTGGTTAGACCAAGTAAAGATCTTTTCATTTACTAGGCCTCGGTAGCATGGAGTTTTGGCTTTTTGTCGTCTCAAGCCAGGGCTTTCTGGTAACCTTTATACCAGTACTTGTTTGACTCTCTTATCAATGAGCCAAGCTGGAGAAACTTCTGTATTATTAAGTGTTTCTACTCTATTTAACTATATTCCAGTTCATTATTTCTCTGTGCAACAGCCTCAAACAGCTGAACATAATAATTAGGGAACCTTGGACAAAGATAACAATCATAGAGGTTTTGTGTTTTGTCAGGCAGTTTTAAATATTCTATCTCTGCTGTAAGGAAACTTTCTTGTGGCGCACACTGAAAGACTTTTAGAACCTTAAAGGGATATTCCAGCGTAAAATTAAGTTAGGGTCAAACACACCGTAACACTGATTTAGACACCCCGTCGAGAGATAAATGTTGCCAACTGCTTGCTTCTCTAGTTATACCAACTTTAGTGATGACCGCACGATAGCAATACACAGAGCCATGCACTCAACCAAAACACCACTCTATAGCCACAAATAATGCTCAGAACAGCACCTAACTTCATCAACAGTACATACAGGGTCCTAGCCGGCAAACATCTTTTTATAATTTTGTCCAATTTCTGTAGCAAAGAGACTAAACACAACTCACCTACTCTCTTCCAGCAGTGAGACCTCGGATGAGTCCATTACGGACTACAACGGGGTGACGCAGCTCAAGGAAGAACATTTATGATCATTTCTTTATCATTTTCCTGAAGTAATAATCACAATATCAATCATTTTGCACTGCAGACATGGTAGTTCTTCTGCTCTAGCATCTCGGTCTGAGAGGGTGAGTTGTGTTTAGTCTCTTTGCTAAAGAAATTAGGCAAAGCTAAAAAGATGTTTGGTGGCTAGTACTATGGCTGGGACCCTATATGTACTGTTGATGTAGTTAGTTGCTGTTCTGAGTATTATTTGTGGTTATAGAGTGGCGTTTTGACCCTAACTTAATTTTACGCCAGAATATCCCTTTAACTGTTTTTAAAAATGTCAGAAATAAAGGTTGCTGACCAACATGAAGCACCCCTAAGTGTGCATCTATTGGGATAATTATAGTAAACTCTTATTCTCCACTGAAAGTAGAAGTGAGAGGTTTTGTCCTGTTATGATTCCCCTATCCTAACAGAAGTGGTGATTTTAGGAATCTTTACTTAAACTGGCTGTAAAATGCAGTTGGATGATGTGGGGCAATATTGTTTTTAGTCCCTCTGAGAAAAATGATCAATATTTGTCATGTCCATCCATGTCGGTTAGATATTTTGTTTTTCCCTTTTCTTGGGATAAGGACCACAACTGTCCTTATCCCAGGACACTGTCCAAAAGAGCAGGTCTAGACCACACTCAAAGACCCAACCTTGAGATGGGACAGAGTTGACCCATCCCATCATCATCTGTGTTTCAGGTTCCTGTTTGCCTGCCCCCACTTGTATGAGTGACTTTTTTCGGTAAAGACTCAGATATTTTTCGACATAGTTGTTTACCTTTTGTTCCTATGAGACAATTTTTTCTATATAAAGATCATTTTAATTTCCTATGTTTGAGGTCAAATAGTCATTGTAGGACTTTGTAAAGACAATGGAAAGGGCAGAGCTGTAAGTTCAAGGCTTAAAAGATAAAACAGGTGAAATTAATCACAGAAAGGCCTCCATAATGCTGCCCAAGGTGACTGAGAAAATTACTGGCAGCTTTGAATTGTTTATCTTTCCACAAATGATAAGCATGGCATGGACATATAAATGATTGCTTTAATCTTTTACGTTTATCGTTATTCCTCAGAGAACTTTTTAAAATGCCTCCAGGGCTGTCGATTAAATAAATCATGAAAAGGTTTTTCATAAAATAAGTGTGAGAGGAGTGTTTGAATATCTACTGAGCGCAGATTAGACAGTGAAGAGTTGTATCAGAATGGAACTTTCCAATTGCGGCCGTTTTTCACTTTATTTTTCACAATTTTTGCGCTTTCATTTCACAAATGTTCCCCTTTTTTTCTGTATTTATTCTAGGATTTTTCAAAGCATAATACACCAACCTGATGTGATGGGAAATGAATGCAGTCCTGTGTAGTTGCACTTAGAAAGTCTTTTTTTTTTCTTGGCATAGCGGGAGGCTTACAGGTAGGTAATGGATGGACTAAAATACAGACGATAGGTTTTCTTGCAAAGACCAAGTCTTGGCTTCACAGCAAATGTATGTGGCGAGCCTCTTAAGCACCATGGTCGTGCTTAGTCTCATTGTACATGTGACACCTCACACCCTGCTGTAACTTTGTCTAAAGTGTAGCATAGCTCTAAGGAGAACAATTTGTAAGGTCATAAAGTCAAGCAAAGACTGTAAAGGAAAAGAAAAGGTGATATCTGATGTTATTTTTGCGAAGTGGAGGCAAAGAAGAAGGTACTGGCAGGCTAACAAGAACAGGAGACTGTATAGGAAAGTCCAGGTGACATAAAACTACAAGGGCAAAACACAAAGTGAGGGAAGCAACAGAGGACAGGGCGGCTGGGTCGAACTGGCAAACAAACAAAGAAAATAGTCCAGTGCATATGGAGCGAGGGTGATGAAAAAGGTGGAGACGGGTGAAAGAGAAAGGTCAGATTACTTCAGGACTAATGAGAACAGAGAACAGATGTGTAGATGAAGAAAGGAGGACAGAACGTGACAAATTCAGCTCTATACTGTTTATAAATATGTAAATTTCTGCTCTGAGAGGAATGTGTAAATGCATTGTGTGAAATGTAATTGTGAAGTCAAACCAACACGAAAGAAAACGCCTCATATGCAGAAACATATTCAAACACTTACTATATAGTGATAAGACGGCTAAATTAAAGAAGCTCTTGCTGTCAATCAGCGCAAAGCTACATGAATAAATTAATATTTGTTGGCTGAATATGCTCAATTATACCAGAAATAAATCAAGACTCATTGAATTACACCCCAAGACCAATGTTTGCAATTATTTTATGTAGAAAAGGTATTTGATCTTGTTTTCCTCATTTTAAAGTATTTTTCTGCTGAGCCTAATTATTTAAAAGTGCAAAAGCTTTTCCTTGAGAGATGTGAAACAAAAACTGAAAAATACGAAATAGATCCATTTTGGGCAAGAACCATATGATATGGATATATTTGAGGGTTAACATGGATTCCAGAAACTTGCTTTTGAATTATGCACCAATAGCAAGCCGGGTGTCCCTTTTCCCTTTGGAGTTGAGAGATTTGTGTCCACGATTTCCAAGAAGAATGTGATACGATCCCAGAGAAGTTGGATCATGTCTGTATATTGATTTACTATTCACTATTGAGGCAGCATTGCTTTCAAAAGAGATGTGGCTTAATGGAAGTATTAGAAATAAATGTCTGTTTTTTAACTCCTGGCTTGTAATCAGCTGAGACTGAAAAAAAATGTCTATAAGAGGGCATCTAAAGACTTTTGAAACATATTTTCTTTCTCTCCTCCCTCTTCTCTTTTTGCATCTCTGGTTGGAGGGACTAAGGCGCAAGTAAATCATGAAACTGAAAGGCTATGAGACTTTGCCAGTGTCAGCGAACCCCATCCAAACACCACTGGCACAGCTACTCGGAGCAGTTTGGAGTTAAATGCCTTGCACAAGCAATTTGGTATATGGACAGCGAGGCCTGGGATCAAACCCCTGACCTTCTAATTGAGAGCCAACCAACTCTACAGCTGAGTCACAACCAGCCCCTCCTATCTGCAGGTCCCAAGATTTTGGCTATCCAATATACATTCTGTAATTATGCAGAGAAATATGTTTCCAGGGGAAAAAGCTTCCGGGCGATAAAACCTGCGATATGGCTTTTCAAGCACATCCAATAACAGAAACCTGCCACCTTGTTTGCTCCCCCATCCATCCACTCAGCCAAAGCCCAGCATGCAGACAAATAAATCTGTTAATATCTAACTGATTTACCAATTCATGAGAAGATAAAAGTGCAAGGAACTTAACCAATTCTATTTGAGCAAATATGAGGCATAAAACAGACTGAAGGAGACTATCTTCCACTTTGACGACCTGTCTCTGCTGCTTTGCCTGATCCACATTGTGACGGGATATGAGAGGTGGCTGGTGAAAGTCTATCAAGCTGTCACGCCGTTGATTGCACGGCAGTAGTGTCAGCACTCCGTTTCTGATGGATGATGGACCATGTGGAGGCCGACCGGCAGAGAAAAGATGAGTGAGTGTGATAGTGTGAAAGGAACTTTCCCCCAGAGAGAAAGAAGGAAGCAGGGGCTGGGATTGCAGGGACTTGGAGACGGTTTAAAATTCTCTCGGTAGGAAAAGGTACTTATCTGTGAGGACTGATAGAGTAAAGGAAGGATGGAGGCTGAATTATTTCAAGTTGAATGTTGGTGAAAAGGCCCTGAACACATCAGAATCCAGCCGAAATCTAAGCAAAAGGACGCGAATTAGAATTCAGACTGCAGAGCAGAGAGGACACTCAGGACAATTGTTAAAGCTGATGGTAAACCGTTATTATAATCAAACAGGAGCAATCAAATCAAACCTGAGAAAGAGACGCTCTGAGTTTCACCCTGAAATTCTTTGATTTATTGGAGGTGTTTTTAGGTGAATACAGACAAATTCATCAGTGGACAGAAAGCAGCAGGGGGGCTGGAGAGGAGCTGTATGGATGAGGAGGCTTTACATTTTACTTCCAGGGAGGAAACTTCACTCTGCAATTGCAGACCATACATAAACCAGAAATTGTGCTTTTATCCACTTTCCTATACCTCATTAGCCATGTGGGCACTAATACTGCTCAGACTTTCATATCAGACAGCAGAAAGTGGAGGGGGTATTCTGGATTTAGTAGCTGCAGCTGTTGATCCTTTTTCGTTTAGGGCAGAATATAGACGGGTGGTCAAACCAACAAGTAATAATGCAATTGTTCATTTCATTTTCAGTTTAGGAATAGGAATTTCAATTACCTGATTAATCATAATTAACTATGATTGATTGTGATTAACTATCAAAATCTGGCCTTCAACCCAATCTTTACAACTAATTGTTCAGTAACCTTAATTGACTTTATTCTGGTAATATTACCACTTTTTGGTAACACGACTTCATCTTTGTGCGACATTATACTTGCAGTATTAGAACTTTTTTTTTAACTTAATCTATTAAACCTCACACTTTGTTTATGAAGTTGTTCACTCACAGTGTCCCAAGTTTTTACCAATGATGGTAAAACACAAATTCATGTATTAATACCGAAACAAACCAGTAGTTGTATTTATGGTAATGGTACCAGAGCTATTGATTTTTGTTTGCTGCGTCTTGCAGAGATCAGTATTATTCATCCAGCTCGAAGAATGGCTTGTTTTTGTAAAACAAATTGTTTTTTGCTTCTTATAGCTAGTAGGCTGTGCTATTACGACATGAAAGAGGCATCATTTGTGTTTAGACAACATTTCGTCTCAAAGTTATTGATCCCGGAACTCCAAATCTGAATATCTTTCCAACTTTACCAAATTTTTTCCCATTGCTGCCATTTATAAGCTTTCCGGCGCACGACACACAAAAACAAGCACCTGGCTCTTTCAGTTTTCGGCACCAGCTACCGTGAGGCTTTCCATCTTTTTCAGCCTCTTCCGCCCAAGCCCAGCTTCCAATATTGCTGTTTCTTCTCGTGGATTGATGTACCTGGCATCCATCGTTTGAAATTTGCCGTTCGCCGCTTGCTGATGCGAGCCGTTTTTTCCGGCACCGTGCTGGAGGTCTTCAAGGCCTGTGATACGTTATGTATGGTTGCCTTCTCTCAGTTGTGGTGTCAGGGCATGAAGGTGGCAGATTTTTCATTTGCGTTAACACCACAATTGGCTTTTTTATTTAAGAAATCGTCATGACTAAGTCACGTTACATTTAGTTTTTTTCAATGATGTTGGTTGTTCCAAAGTCTCTCTTGACTACATGCTACTCTACAACATCAACAAACGTCGTCTTATGCGAACCTTTTGATTGGGAGACCCCTAGTGGCAGAAATTAGTTACTTTGCTCTTATGTGAGAAAAAAAAATCAGGAAATATTCCTGGGCTGTATTAGGAGGAGAGGAAACACATTTATAAGTTGTTGGCAGAAAAAATATGAGGTGTTATGATAATATGGCAAAAAATAACTGGACTACAACTATTACACTCATGTGCAATCATTGACCTTGCTATGCCAAACATATGAGCAATAAAAATTTCCTAGTTAAGCCTGTGGACAACATTTCTGGGCACTGGGCCATGAATTTAGCCCAGTTTAACTACTTAACAGTAAGAGAATTAGAGAGAGAAATATTGCTTTGGTCTGTAGCAATACGATTTTACATAATTGAAACTGAGAGACCTTGCCCAAACCATGAAAAACCACCTTAGACTGAATGAATGGACCATGAATAGATGGGTTTTCTGCCACATTCCCTATAATTTCTCACTCTGCTCATCATCCTAAACCTTTCTCTGCCAGATTCAGCAAAGCCAAAAGATGCAGTTGGCAGCAGGTCAAGATTGACTGCACATATCTCGGCACCCCTTCGTTCTCAAGGGTCAAAAAAGGAGAGACAGTGAGATAGACTGGACCTTTTCTGGACTTCAAGGTTGAGCAGATGGCAATAAAATAAACAGGTCAGATGCCTCAGATAGAATGACCTAAATAACACAAAATGATTGCGCCAGGAGCAGCTTCTATTCAATCATTCAACCCTGTATCTTGTACGACATTGTAAAACAAGCAGCCAAATCAACAACAATGACTAGGCTGGAGCTGGAATGGCAGTGTTCGCTCATACAAAGTGGATAATAACTTCCTTTCATTGGCAGCGGAAGCCATCATCAGGCCCTTTCGCTTTATTCACGTCCAGCTTTAATTATCCTGCAATGAGGTCTGTCATAACCATTACATCATGTAGCAGAGCGGTGGAGAGAATCCCAGGGGCAGCATCACTGGCTTAGTCGATGAACTCCCATCTGGTCGTGTAGATGTGACTGATGGCTGGATACAGTGATTTTCTGCAGAAGGAGGAACCGGAGCTGCTGCATGTTCAAGAAAAACGATTCTTACGGTATATGAAAGAGGATGGCAAAAAACACTGTTTTTTGATAAGAATAAGAAGAATTTGATTAATCCCTGAAGGGAAATTCAATTGTCTGTCGTCTCATTTATCATGTCAATCTAAAAGTCATCTACTATTTACAGAAGAGTTGTACAGTCTGATGGCTGTGGGTACAAAACATCTTCTGAATCTTTCTGTCCTGCAGCAAAGAGAGAGGAGCCGTCCACCACTATTGGCCCTTTGGTCCATTAAGGTGTTGTTAAGTGGCTGATCCATGTTGTTGAAAATAGTCTCCACCACATCCTCCATTGAGTCCAGCTTGAATCCAACCACAGAGCCAGATGGTGGACATGTTTCCAAAGGCATATCAAGACAGTTTTGATTCCGAGCCCGGTGCTCTGACTTTTGCAGGGTAAGCATGTATGTGCGCTGGCAAACACCACTGACTGCATAAAAAGGATTGATGAGACATCTCCACTAACTCTTGATGTCCAATAGCAGGGCTGAAATACCACTGGCATCATGCACACAAGACACCATGTCTTGGCTTCTGAAGATAAGAAAAGATGTTCCTTTATTAGTCCCATTGGGGGAAATTACAACTTTGGTATGCTAATGGTAGCCACATTGGAAATGGTAACTCAACTCAACTTTTTTGGCAAATTCAGAAATCAGCAAAGAGGTGGAGATAACGCAGACTTTTGGCCCTCAAGCACATAGCCACTACATACCCACCTGTTAGCTGAAACCAGCCTCAAGTGTACGCTCAAGGAAGTGCAGTCTTTTACACTTCGACACTGACTTCTCTTTTCAACACAAAAAGTTGTAGCTTGGTTCGAAACAGTCAGCTTCAATCACTGTAAATCACTGCTATTTGCAAATGCAAATACCGAGGGAGCCATATTTGTCAACAGAGCAAATGTTAAACCTTCTTTTATTGCATGAATGGGCATGATAAGAACTAACAATAGTAAGAGAAATCATGTTTGAGAGAAGTTTCTTTGATGAGTATTTTCATCTTGAAGTTTTGCCCATGCCCCATCTGTTAACATGGAGGAAGTAGGTTTTACGGCCTATACTGCAACCAGTTAGTTGGGAGACCTCCAGCTGTTTTGGCTCCATATTTGGGCTGCTATTGCTGTACAGCATTTGACACACACTAAAATCCAAACTGCATCTGTTCACCATTGCTATTTTAGTGAACCATAAATAAGTAAATTAGTAATTAAGCCAAAAAATGAGATTAAATTGCACTTTGTACATTTTTGCATATTAAGGACTCACAATGTAGATGTATCTTCAGCCCGTTACAACATACTATTTTAAGACGGTTAAGCAGTCATATTTTAGAGGCATCGCACCTACAGTTGCTTATAAGACAGGAGGAAGAGCCTTGGCACCCCTGGACACCCCTAAATGCACTCTTGCATGCTGCATAGCTGTATTCTCCTTAACCCACGCTTTTTCGATCTCTCTGCACCAGGCCCAAGCCCACCCAGCATATCTCACTCACTTTAATCCCACTCTGTTTTTCCAGTCCTTTCATTCCCTGCTCTGCTGCTGCTGATGTTCTCCTCTCTCCTCTCCTCCCCGGCACTTATTCTGCCACGCGCAGAGCATTCCTCTCCCTCTTCAAACACTGCCTCCAGAGTTCTTGCTCTTGTTAAAATACTCCCCCTTTTTTTTTCTTTGCTTTCTTTTTTCACTTTTTAATTTTCACTCCCAAGTCTGCAGCGCTCCCACCTCTGGAATGTTGAGGCGCTTTTCCAAATCCCACAGAGGAGAAATGAGACATTGTCTCGTGCTTTGTTGTCATCGTGGCGAAAGGACAGCAAAATTGTTTTGAGGAGGAACTTGATTGCAGCTCAGAGATGTTTTTGTTTTGATCTTACAACTATGTTGTTTTGATTGCTGCTTATTGTAC